CTGGTGGAGCCATCGGCTCATTCCTTGGTAACGCCCCGTCTGCGGAGGAGTCGACCCGCGGCCAAACTAACTTTGGTGTGTCGAGCGCGGTGTGGCGCAATCCGGGCCACACGGAGGCCTCTGGACTCCCATCCATGAGCTCCTACAGTAGGGGCCCGACCACAAGAAACCTTCCATAAGAAACCCAACCCTGAGACCCCAGGGCGTCTATTGATTTCTGGTGTGGGAGAGTCACGCCTTCCACAGCAAAACTATCGAAACCCAAGAAACCCAGGGCACCCTGGAGGCCAGCAGGGTGTCTCTTGCCAAGGGTCCTTACTGTATTATGTTCCCGCAGCATCCACCACTCCCGTTCACTGCAATGTGAAAACTTCAACTTCGACTGGGTATTTTTTCTCCGCGAACAGCGCCAGAACTACGGACGCGCCTCCTCCGGTACCGCAGCCAGAAGAGGAGCCTTGGGGCCTGTGAGCGCTGTGCCTGCTTCGCCATCGAGGCTACAGACTGCACTCCCGTTCACTGCTCCTGCGCCACCTCCTTCTCTTCGTTCTGCTCTCCTGCTCCTGGCGGGCACGGACGACCCTGTAGAGGCACACGACGGAGCCTTTCTGCGTAAACAAGCAGGCACGCAAGCCAAACATAATAATTTTCCTAGAATCATTCTTCCGCTCTGTTCCTCTCCCTCCTCCTCCTCCTCCTCCTCCTCTTCCTCCTCCTCCTCCTCCATTTCCACACCATCGTCTCAATCCGCGTTCAACTCACCCTCCTCCTCTCCTTCTCGTCATACCTCTCTCCCCTTCTCTGCCCCTCTTTCCCCCTCCTGGTTCTAGGATTCGGTTGACTTGGACACTTTGCTTGTGCGTTGCCGCCGCACAATTTGCCTTATGCAAACCGCAAGTCGCCCAGGCTTGCCACACTGTCCACTGTTGTGCCCGCTGCGTGGCGATGCACGGAATTGCCACTGGCCCAAAATTCGCCTGGCGGGGTTGACGACAGGACGCGGTTTCGCTCTTACTTTTTACGCGTCTTTGCCTTCGCCGCCCAATACGGGCGTAGACTGCGTAGATCAGATTCCTTGAGTTTTTATGTGAGTCCGCACTGTCTGGTGTCATTCAGGATCTGCTCAAACCAGCCTGAACACTCAATGCCGCAATCGAATCCTATCTTGGCTGCGCCATCTCTGATCCTAAGGCTGCCGTCGTCTCGTGCGTGCACGCTGTTGCTAAAAACCATCCGTACGGGACTTGGCGATGTGGGCGGCAAAGGTTGGGCCTCTGCCGTCAACCTGGGCGTTGACGACGCTGCTGGCAGGCCTCGCCGATTGGCGCGTCGTGGGGGAAGCTTCAGGTGCGGAGTGCGACGTTCAAACGGAAGGTGGAGAGGCTCCGCCTCCACGCGGCGTCGCTGGGCCGCCTCTGGAACGCAATCTCCACGACGGGGCCGCTGGGGAGTCGGACGCCCGGCTGCGAGTTGCAACCACTTCCGACTACGAGCCCTTCTCGCTCAGCTCAGACGTTCGCTCGGCAACTACCACCAACCTGCGGCTGGCGGGCGCTCGCTCAAGGCGGCTTTGCTCGTTCTTCTCCACCGACCCCGCGTGGAACTTTGCTTTGAATAACAAAGCATGACACCAACAAAAACTTTTGGCGCTCCGCGCGGATTTCAGGGATCTGCGCTGTGACACCCCTGGCGGTGCCTCTGGCGCCGCCCCTGGCTCGCTCCGCGCGCCATGGAGGGGGTCCAGCGCGGATCCAAGGAATCTGCGCGGAGCGCCAACAGTTTGTTACTATGCCGTTTGTTCTGCTTCTACTGTTGTGGGCCCCCTCGTCTGGTGGGCCGCCTGCCACGTCGGGGCACGCGAGCTCGGCTTGCCCTCGTCGGTCCTTCGTTCGGGCCCTGGGACCCTGCCATTCCTCGGGAGCTGCGCCGCCGTGAGGGAAGGCGGCGGGCCCCGCGGGGGCCCTTCGTCTGCTCGTGGGGCGCAACGGAGGCGCACGACTGGCTTCACTACTCCTCCCGGTGGGCCCCCTCCTGGGGCGTATCCACTAGGATTGTCCTGGAACCCCTTCCGGGCGATCCAGGGCCCACCCCCACCGAGCCCGTCGCATGCCAGCACTCCAGCGCCTTGGGTAAGGTGGGCGTCGAGCACAGGCCACCTCCCGGTCGATCCCTTGGTGGGCGGCCAGGTGGTGGCAGCCCCCCGCACCCTCCCTCGTTTCTCCTGCTCTCCTCGAACGCCTCCTCGGGGCGGCCATCCTTCGGGGGCTTGGGCGAGCCCTCGGGGAAAGTCCCGCTCGATCGAAGCGCGTGAGTGTCTGGGCGTGGTGCCCTCCTGCATCAACCCCTCTCTGCTCTGATGTCGTTCGAGAGGGGTTGCATCAGGGGGCTGGCGTGTTCAGGCTCCTTGGATCAGCGAGGGCTGCTGAGGACGGGCGCACCTTGCCCGACCTGCGCTGCTCGCTGTGCCGTCCGGGGCAGGACACCCTGTGCCGCCGCCCACGGACCCCTCTCGATTCGAACGTCGCTCGAGACGGGTCGCATCAGTGGGCTGGCGTGTCAAGCTCCTTGGATCAACGAAGGCTGCCGAGAACGGGTGCGCCTTGCCCGACCTGCACTGCCCACCGTGCCTGTGAACGTTGTCTTGTTCGGCGTTTGGATACTGGGCGAAAGGGGGGTGGGGTCTGGCTCCGGACCTCTGCTTAGTGCGTCCTACGGGGGGAGGCCCCACCTGCTCGAAACAGGCGCCCCAGGCAACCAAGATCTACTCCATGGGGGGGCGGGCGGGGTTGCGAAGGCCCGCGCCGATCGGCAAAACAATGAATAAGACAACGATCATCATCAGGAACAGGACGCCCTGTTCCGCCGCCCACGGATGTGCCCGCATGAATCTTCTGCGGGGGCATCCCCGCGCCGTTGCTGCGCGAGAAGCTCAAATTCTCGCCTGGCGCATGGCGTGCGCTTCCTGAGTCGGAGCATACAGTCGGACCTAGGCCAGAATAACATCCTTCAAGGACACGATACCCTCAGTCGGCCAAAACAAGCAGAACATCCAGGGGCACCCTCCCCAGGATGCGCAAGAACATCCAACAACCACGAAGAACATTAGGGTGCCGTCCCCGATCCGACCTCGATCTTCTACCTCGGTCCGACTGTATCTGTACACCCACAACATCTTCTCTCACTCTGGTAATTCCTTCCCTCCGCCCGGTAACTTGACCCCCTTCTTCACTACTTCGAGCAGCCTGAGAGATGTGTCTGCGGCGTAAAGACAATCCTCCTGCATAGATCGCGTGTTCGTTCGGTCGCCAGAGAGCTCTCCAGAACGGGGTGGGCACGCGTGTCAGCTTCTGGCTCTGGCAAGGAGCTGGGTCACGATCCTCCTCCCACTCACCATCCCCAGACTTCGCAGGCTGGTGAACCTGCTGCCTGCAGTGCTGCATACTAGTATGTTAGAGAGCAGCCTTCAGTGATTGCCAGCGCGTGATTCAGTTGTGGGCTGCCTTTCGCTGCGAGCAGTGATCCATTGAGCGTGTGAATGTTCGTCTGGGCGGTTGACTCTACGATGGGGCCGTTCCATACGGTTGCAGGGCACATGACCCATGAGCAAGCTTCAGCATATCCACAACTGGAGTTTGTAGACAGGAAATGAATTGGAATTCTATTCTGCTGAGCTGGGTGCCCTGGCCGACGAGAGGCCGACCCCCGAGCAAGACTACTCAGTAGTTGGACCGCGTGATTGCCGCATCAAGGACAACTTGTGTTCCAGCTGGCAGGTTGCTCCACTTGTAGCTTGCCTGCGACCTGTCGCGGGCCGCGAGGGAGAATGTGGAACCGAAGGTCGTGCTCCCCAAGGCCCGTCGCGTCTGGCGGTGGCTGGGGCAACACTGGTACTGCGGCCGCTGCCTGAGGGTCACTCATGCTCTGTCCCTCCGGCACCCAGTATGTACTAAGATGCACAACAGGTATGGTACCAAGTGGAGAGCATCAGGCCACAAGTGCATTGCCCTGTCTCGCTCCGATGGCAGCGTCGTTTTCATCTGTCTCACGTTAAAGGTCTTTTCGACCGGAGGCATCTAAGCCAGAAGAGCCCCGAGCGTCCTCGGCATGAGCTCAGACCAAAAGGTTCTTGGAGCAAGATCATTGCTGGCAAGCACCCCCCCTCTGCATGACGTCTGGCTTGATGTGGGTTCACTCTTCGCTGTCAGTCTTTTCGATTGATGTTCATACTCACGCCTCTGCCCCCCTGGCCCTGCCACGGAGGCATAGGCCTCGTCGTGTTGGCAACGAGACAAGTCGTAATGTTCGTGCCTCGTTGATTGGCTGGCTTGCACCAAGAACGAATGTATGTTTCGACTACGCTCTTTTGGCTCCGCTCTCTGCCTGTGCGGAGTCTCCAAAGCCGTGCTCGACGACAGCCTGAATCCTTGCAAGGAGAGCTGCGGGAGTGTAATGGAGCAGTGCAGCAGCAAAATCCTTCCCCTCCTGGCTACGGAATTACCTCACGCGGCTTTCGGGGGGGCGGGTCACCTCCATGCTGGCCAATCCCCTGCTGTGCGCGCTGCGAATGTGTTCAGCCCCCCTTTCGTTGCTTGAACCGAGCGCTCGTCCCGCTGCGCATGGTGGTCATGCCTTTGCTGCACTGCCCAGTGCCCTGTCAGCAAGCAGCGTTAGCCACGGCTGACGCAGCACCGTAACCAATGCGTGTCTTGTCAGGTCACGCTGCAAGCTCGCGCCCTTTCGAGTCAGCAGGGGTCAATGAGTGTGCCCTGGCGACCTCGACGCTGATGCGCTGTTCTGGCGTGATCTCCTGCTCTCTTTGACTTTTTTTCTTTTCCTCATGATGTTGCCTTTCCTCGCTTCTCCTTTCCCCTGTCCTCCCCCTGCCCCCCCCTCCCGTGCTGCCCAACTGCTTTTCTACCCACGCCATCATCCCCCCCTGCTCCTTCCGCTCCCGGCCTTCCTCTCGCCCTCCTCTTCCTCGCCGTGCAGCATCGAGCCGCCTGCCAGAGCTCCTTCAAACGGTACGTCGCCCCGCCAGGAACGAACCGCTCCTCCGTGCGCCCAAGCGGGCCGAACCACTGTGGGGGCGGTGTTTGTCTGCACGCCAGGGGCGTGTCAGCGGCTTCGCCACAACGCTTAAGTCGGGCGTGTCCCTCTACAGGAGGACTATTCAAAAGTAGTCAAAAATAGCCTGGAACGATTTTTGGAATATTTGGACTACTTTGATATGTTTGATTATTCTCTACTTGTCTCCCAACATCCGCCTGCAGGGGGACGTGCCCGACCGAACGCAACGCCCAAACTCCAACTGAGAGCCACGCCAATGGGACTCAGACGTCCGGCATCACAGCACAAATCACGACGGCCAACTCTTCGAACTGCGGGCCGTCGCCGGGCCTGCTGCGGGCCTCAGGACAGGGAGCAAGAGCACGGGGGACGAAACACCGACCCCAGGGAGGGGGTCGCGGGCTCGGGGGGCCCACGTCGGGAAGAGAAGCGACGTGAGAAGTCTGGAGACAGGCCAGTGGGAGCTCGTGACGGCCCCAAGCTCATGATCGCTGCGCCGGCGGCTCTACCCCGCTCCCCCTCGCTTCGGTCTTCCGACCGCCCTTTTGCCTTTCTTTGCCGGGCGGGGCGGGCGCAAGAGCTACGTCGGTAGAAGAACACCATTCCCCACCTCCCCCCCTCGTCCGTCGTCGTCGTCGTCGTCAACTCGTCGTCGTCGTCGTTCGTCGTCGTCGTCGTCGTCGTCGTCCGTCGTCCCTCGTCCGTCGTCGTCGTCGTCGTCGTCGTCGTCGTCGTCGTCGTCGTCGTCGTCGTCATCGTCTCGTCGTCGGTCGTCGTCGGTCGTCGTCGGTCGTCGTCGTCGCCGTCGCCGTCGCCGTCGCCGTCGCCGTCGCCGTCGCCGTCGCCGTCGCCGTCGCCGTCGTCGTCGTCGTCGTCGTCGCCCTCGTCGTCGTCGTCGTCGTCGTCGTCGTCGTCGTCGTCGTCGTCGTCGTCCGCCGTCTCCCCCGAGGTAACGCGCCGCCGAGGGGCCACGAAACTGCGGTCTCCTGGGGGCTGCCCGCCAGCGACAGGAGGAAGGGGAACGGGACCTTGGCCACCCCCGGCGCGACCAGCAGCAGGCTGGCCGAATCGAGGGGCTCCCGAGTCCTGCCGCTGGGCGAGTCAAACAATCAGGAGGACGAGGAGGAGGAGGATGAGGAGGAGGAGGAGGAGGAGGAGGAGGAGGAGGATGCCCCAGCAGCAAGGAGGAGGAGGAGGAGGAGGAGGAGGAGGAGGAGGAGGAGGAGGAGGAGGAGGAGGAGGAGGAGGAGGAGAAGGCCCCACCAACACGGAAGGAGACCGAGAGGAGGGAGGCGAGGGGGCGCACAGCCGACCCACCACAAGGAGGAGGGCTCCCTCTTCGTCCTGGCCCCCCCCTGGGGGGTGCGCATGCCGAGGCGAGCCCGTCGATCCTTCCGCCACGTGGTGGAGCGTGGGCCAGATGCGCGACTCGGCGACGAGCCCGGGGGGGAGGTCGGGGGCGCGCAAACATGGATGAGCGATCCATGGATTTGGCGCACGGTCGCCAAATCCATGGATCGGGGGAGGTGCCTTCCCCAAGATGCGGCCGGTGCCGCTTCGTTCGGCAGCGGAAAACCGCGATTTCCTGTGGAAGCGGGGCCAGTCGCTAATCCACGCCCCCTTGATCCATGTTTGCGATCGCCTGAGGAAGTGCGAAGGAGAAGGTCTTCTGAGAAGGCTCGGAGGCTCGGAAGTCCCCCCAGCCTTCCGAGAAGTTTGCTGAGCCTTCCCCGAAGGCGCAGAACAAACTTCTCAGAAGGCAAGAAGGCTGCTGAGAAGTCCCGCCGCCTTCTGAGAGGACCTTCTCCTTTTCAGTTCTCCCCCCTCGCTCGCCGCCGAGCGACAGAGGGGCGCCATCTGAGGAAGATGCGCAGGAGAACACGTCATCGGGACAAGTGGAGCGGAAGCGACGCGCGTGTGCAGACGGTGGGATTGAACGCGAGACGTGTGCAGACGGTGGGGTTGAACGCGAGACAAGTACGACACATTGCGCGGACCTCGCGATACATTCGCGATGCGATGTATGAGACACATGTGACTCGTGTGGGGACCGGTACCTGTTCATGGCATCATGTTGAGACGTGCGACGCGTATACGCAACAACGCGTCAACCGCGTGAACCGCATACTGATCCTACATGACTCAAAGTGTGACGCCTCTGCGAACAACGTGTGGCACATACATCAGTAAGTGCGGACAAATGTGTGCGGCATCATGAATGTGACAACGTGCAGCGCAAGATATCCGAACCAATGCTTCGAAAGAAACATTCTCCACCAGACCATGACCTAGCATGACACGCCCACACATGAGTGAAGTAGTATGTGAACCACTATCCGAATGAAGATGGAATGCCACCCTATTCAACTGCGTGCAGTATGCGCGTGGTACACGTGTAAGAAAACGTGCGCCTATATGCGACGCAAAGCGCGC